TCACAGAGATCCGCCTGGCTCTGCCTCCCAAGTGCTGGGATTAAAGGCGTGCGCCACCACCGCCCGGCTGATTTTTTTTTTAAAGAAATCTTTCATTATTAGACACACCCTATCTCAGTTGGACTTTGGTGGTGCACGCCTTTAATCTCAGCACTCAGGAGGCAGAGGCAAACAGATCTTTGAATTCAAGCCCAGCCTGGTCTACAGAGCAAGCTCCAAGACATCTAGAGCTACACAGAAAAACCCTGTCTCAAAAAACCAAAAGGAGACAGATGTGGTGTCACACGCCTTTCATCCCAGGGCTAGGGAGGAAGAGGCAGGCAGATCTCTGTGAGTTCGAAGCCAGCCTAGTCTACAAAGCGAGTTCCAGGACAGCCCTGTCTTGAAAAACAAGCAAACAAACCAAAAATTAAGAAAAACATATCCTGTGTGTACTTTGCTCTACCAATGTCTTGGGAATCTAAAAATAGTTTAAATAACTGTGTTAAAGTGCTTGCATACTAAATTCTTTAATTCATGACATTTCTAGGTTTGTTTCTATTAGCTTCTTTGGGCTCTTGGTTATAGGTTATAATTTTTCCTGCTTGTTTTCATGCCTAAAAAGTTCATTTTCAGTTTTCAGATTAATTTAGTTAGCATGCAAAATAATAGGTTTATATGACATTTACACACATATATATTTAGATAGATAAAATTGCAAAATCCTATTTTGCATTTTTCCTCACATTTGCCCCCACACTACCCCACTTGTTCCTTTCCCTCTCTCCCCAAGACTCCCCCTTCTACTTTCATGTCATATAGGGGTTTTTTATTATTATTTTTTGCTTGTATGTGTGGTTTATGTGTGCATGTGTCTACATGGGTATGGGATCACATTCACATATGTGTGTAGGCATGGGTGTCCTGAAATTGATGGTGTCCTTGATAACTAACTTTTAGTGAGGCAGGATCTCTCCAAGGTCCTGGAGCTGTCTAATTCTAGCTAGTCTAACTAGCCAGCCTGCCTCAAGGATGCTCTGTCTCTGTCTCCCAGACGCTGGAATTGCTGACAGCCGTCATGTCTGCCTGACTTTTCTGTGAATTTAAATTCTGGTCCTCATACTTGATGACAAGTGCTTTATACACTGAACCATCTCCATAAGTCATATGTGTATTTTTTTAAATCTATGTCATGCATATGAAAGAAAGTGTTGTGTCTCTCTTTCTGAGCCTCGCTTATTTTGCTTAACATAATGTTCTACAGTTCCATCCATTTTCCTGAAAGTGACAGAACTCCATTTTTTATGTCTGAAGAAAACCCAGTTGTGGACATATACCACTTTTCCTGTATACATTCAACTGTTGTTAGGCATCCAAGCTGGATCTCTACCTTGGTTGTTATGAATGGTGTAGAGATGTGCAAGTATCTCTCTAGAGTGATGATGTATATTCCTTTGGAAATATACACAAAAGTGATGTAACTGGATCCTGTTGTGTTTCGATCTTTGGTTTTTTGAGGACCGTCTATACTGCTTTCCATAGTGTCTGCTCCAGTTTTCATTACAACCAGCAGTGAATAAGGATTCTTCCTGTCCTCTCCTCTTCTACCTCATTTGTTGCTATTTGTTTTCTTGACAATAGACTGGGGCAAGATAGATCACAATGCAATTTGAATTTGAATTTTCCTCATAGCTAAGGATGTTTGGTGATTATATATGTAACACATTAGTAATGAATTAAAAGTTTTTATTAGCAAGAATGATAGATAGGACTGAGAGAAATTGAGAAGTTCTATTACTTTTTTTGAAAAGGAATAAACATAAAATCAAAAAAATCTTTTTTTTTAAAACCCTTCAGGGACTGAGTTCAGCAGTTAAGAGCACTTGTTGCTCTTTTAAGAGGACCTGGCTTTGGTTTCTAGCACCAACATGGTGGTCCACAAACATCTGTAACTCCAGTTCCAGGGGAACCAATGCCCTCTTCTGGTCTCCACGGGCACTAGATATGCACATTGTATACATATATACATGTAGGAAAAGCATCACATATACACCAAATAAAACAAATTAATTAACTTAAAGTAACACTTTAAAGAAGGCGGACAAGATGGCAGAGCAGGTAAAGGCACTTGTCACTAAGCCTGGGAATCTGAGTTCAATCCCAGGACCCACATGGTGGAAGGTGAGAACTGACATTCACAAGTTGTTCTACATTGTTCTCTGACTTACACACACACACACACACACACACACACACACACACACACACACAAATAAATGTAATTTTTAGAAGACCTTCAAGAAAATCAATAGGCCCTACATATCTTCCCCAAAAGAAAATGTAAATAAATATAAATGGAGGCTGAAGAGATGACTCATCTTGTAAGTACTGCCCTTGCAGAGGATCCACATAGGATGGTTTACAATCTGTAACTATCTTTAGGGGGATCTAGCACCCCTTCTGGTCTCCCTAGGCACTGCACCTGCATGCATAAACCCACACATAGGCACATAATTAAAAATAAAATCTTTTCCTAAAAATAAATAAATAAATAAATAAGAACTGGAAGGAGAAGGTGGTTTTGTGTTTTCATCACCAGTAGAGCATTCCACTTACAGAAAGATTGCCATGAAGTGGTTGATGTTCCTATTGCATTCACTTACTACCTGGTTTTCTTTTCAGTCATCAAACTGAAGAAACGTTTCCACCACTTACAAGGGGCCCTCACACTCCCTTGATGGTTGACCAGCTGTCCCAATGGGATTTTTGCTAAGTAAAGCTGCCACTCATCCATCTGCTCTGCTGGCGGATTCAGAAGTGAACCATCACTTAATGCAAGGAGCTGAGAAGCGTGGATTGGAACCAGTAACTCGGTTATTTCAAAACACCAAGAAAATAAAGTTAGAAGACACAAACCAAGAAAACTTCACGAGGAAGGAAGGGATTGACAGAGGATGGAATGGCATGGGCTACGTGAAGGAAAACGATGGCCTAGTAATAACAGATTTGGAATGAAGACACCTGGACATATTGCCAAAGAAATCAAAAATTGCTTTTGATTAGAAGATGTATTCAATGTAGCTGAAGTCCATTAGGAAGTGTAACAAAATGAAGAAATGGCTAAAAGATCCTCCTAAATCCAAGGCAGATGTCTGCAGGGTATATCCTATCTCTGTCAAACACCACACTTATTTTTACTAAGAGTATTTGGTACTAATGCACTTTACTGTAATTATAATAAACATTATAGCAAGTAGTATAAAAAGTGGATCTAAGCAAAACATGACTATTTCACATCTGTTCTGGTGAAGTTACTTTTATATGCTGCACTTCCAGTTCAAGGGTTTGCTTTGGAGTCCTTTACCTTTTTAAATGTTCAGGGTGCTGTGGGATGGTCTGTATGTCAAATTGCTCTGATTGGTCAATAAATAAAACACTGATTGGCCAGTGGCCAGGCAGGAAGTAGGTGGGACAAGGAGAGAGGAGAATTCTGGGAAGCGGAAAGCTGAGGCAGAGAGACACTGCCAGCCACTCCATGACCAGCAGCATGTGAAGACGCCGGTTAGCCACCAGCCACATGGCAAGGTATAGATTTATGGAAATGGATTAATTTAAGCTATAAGAACAGTTAGCAAGAAGCCTGCCATGGCCATACAGTTTGTATGCAATATAAGTCTGTGTTTACTTGGTTGGGTCTGAGCGGCTGTGGGACTGGCGGGTGACAAAGATTTGTCCTGACTGTGGGCAAGGCAGGAAAACTCTAGCTACAAATCAGGGAGTCTTTCTGCTCTGTGAGATAGCATGGTTGATGGCCCCTTAGAAAAGAACAGTGACCCATCTCTCTTCAGAAGCAGTTCACACTCTTCTGTCTGTTTCTGCCATGCTGTCTTCATTTCAGCGTTAGGACTTACTTCTTTCCAAATTAAATGTGTTTGTCTTGCAGTAACTACCATTTTATAACAATATGTCATATAATAAAAGCAAAAACTTCTTTTATATCTGTTGTTAAGATATATGTACTCTGAAACAATAGTACTGTCCCAAGTAATGGTAGATGAAATGAAAACTATTTTGTATCTAGATATATGGTGAATTGTAGTTATTTATATTGTATATGGGGTTTTTTGTTTGTTTGCTTGGTTGGTTTATTGTTTTGTTGGTTTATTGGTTTGTTGTTTGGTTTTGGCTTTGGTTTTGGTTTGATGCTGGGTATTGAATTTAAGGTGTTGAACATGGTAAACATGCAACTCTGCTACTGAGTTCTACCCCATGTTTTGAACATGTTCTTGTATGCTAATACTTAATAACTATCTATTGTTTAATTGCATTATCTCTTTAATATTATTAAAAGATAGAAGGCATCTTGGGATGGGAGGAGAACAGTATTTTATGAGGCAGGCCAATTCTAAAGAAATGAATTGACGCCTTTAATCCCAGCACTGGGGAGGCAGAGGCAGGCTGATCTCTGTGAATTCGAGGCCAGCCTGGACTATCAAGTGAGTTCCAGGAAAGGCGCAAAGCTACACAGAGAAACCCTGTCTCAAAAAAAAAATAGGAATCAAGCTTAATGTTAAAAACATAGTTAAATGGAACATACTTCTTTTTATTCTTCACAAAGCATAATTCTCTTTTTTCTTCTCTTATTTTTAATTTTATTATGTGTGTGGATTCTGTTTTGCCTGTATTTATACCTTTGGCCTATGTGCCAGAAGAGTGCATCAGATACTCTCAGAGTGGAGTTACAGTTGTGAACTTCCACGTGAGTGTTGGAAATTGAACTTGGTTCCTCTGGAAGAGTTGCTCTTAACCGCTAATCCATCTCTCCAGCCCCCAGAATATATAATTCTTTAAGAAAGAAAAAAATTGCAGAAATAGGTCACTGGGCAGGATCTAGGATCACCAAGGAGACAAATTCTGAGTATGTCTATAAGGAAGCTTCTAGAGAGGGCTAATTGACTTGAGGTGGGAAGATCCATTCTGAATGTGGCATCATCCCATGTGCTGGGATCCTAGACTGAATGAACAAGACTGTAAGAGCTAGCACTCATTGTTTTCTGCTTCCTGACTGCTAATGCAACATGACCAGCTGCCTCGTACTCTGCTGTACCTTATGCCCTCAAACTATAACCCCCAATAAACAGTTCCTTTTGAATTACGTTGCTTTCGTCAGATATTTTGTCAAAGCAACAAATAATGAATTCATCTTATCTAAGATCATTCTTGGTGCTGGAGATAGAGCAAAATAGCTACTGCCTTCATAGTGATGCCAGAGAAGACTTGTTATACCGCAATTATATTAAGTACAAAGTGTGTTTTGCCATGAAAAAAGCAAAGCATTCAGAAAGCCACAACAACAGCTATAACATAAACTTGATTGTAGCAACTAGGAAGACCTCTCTGAAGGCAACGTAACTTAGAGTTAAGTGGTTATCCAAATGGATGATGGCAGTGGTAATCCAGGTAAAGTGTAGCAGGATATAGTTATGGGGTGGAGTGAGATGTGACCAAGGAAGAGAGGTGGGGGCAGATGCAGTGAGGTTTCGTGGAGGAATGAGGGAACTCGGGACTGCAGATTCTGGATAGATCAAGCTTTCAAAGTATGGAACTATAAAATGGAGCTATTTTTTTTTATTTAGATGCTCTTATGCCCTGCATTACACCATGTTATGTAAAACTGTGTTGTTGGTTTTTTCCTCAAGACTGATTTGTCCTGAGAGAGTCCATTTTACAAGCAGCTTTGACTCCATTTTGAAGATGGAGGGTGACTGTGTACTTGGGTGAACATATAATTATCACCATCTGCCTCGCACCCTCACGAAGCACAGACTAATACATGACTTATTCTTGGGCATAGACAGGGAGCTACTCCATAAGTGTATCAAGGTGAATTGGTACTACATGAGCACATGGGTGTATTAAAATCATATCAGGACTGTCAGATTGGCTCAGCAGGTAAGGCACATGCCACCAAAGCCTGACAACTTGAGTTTGATCCCCAGAACCCATTTGGTGGAAGAAGAGAGCATGTTTTCCTCTGACCTCCATAGCATACACACATACAAAATAGATCAGCTCTCTCCCTTGGACCTCATGAGGAGGCAGAGACCTATAACTGGGATTGTGAGGGCCCCACTAACCGGTAATCTGACAACTCCCAGCTTTCCCAGGGGCTTCAGCTCTGCTTTGTCCCAGCTGTTGACATAGGCTACTCAAATTGCCATCTGCCTGCCAGTCCGCTTGTCTGGACCTGTTGTCTGTCTGTCCACCCATTTGTTCTTATGGACCAGTTCCTGCCCTTTCACCACTGTGGCTAGACTCAACTGTACAGCTCAGCTCTGACCCTGACTCTATAGCGGCAGCCACACCCCTTTCCAAAACTGTCAGTTGATTCGGTATCTGACAGCCATAGGCTCCTTTGCATTTCCATCTGTTTCCCAGCTTTAGCCTCTCAGGCCTCTTTGAAATTACTTAAAATTCCTTATTTCTTTAACCCTTTGCAGTCATTCTGTAACCTACATATATGCATACAGATAGATTGGTTGATTTGCTGTATACTGTGTGTAACCTCAGAGTTAATATAGTAAATACAATTTAAATGAAAGAATCTGGACTGAGTACCATGGCTAATGCCTTTAATCCCAGCCCTTGGGAGGCAGAGGCAGGAAATCTCTGTGAGGCCATCCTGGTCTATGTACTTAGTTCCAGGCAAGTCTGGTTTACAGGATGAGACCCTATCTCACCCACAAAAAGAAGTTTTAAGAAGAGCAGACAGAATAAAAAGCAGAAGGGGAAATTCTGTCACCAGGGGACTAGGAAGCATGTTTGAGTGTCTTTGGAAATTCCAAAGGGTCCACATTATCCTGCTCCTTAACTCTAGTCTGGCTTTGTTGTTCCTCTTCTTGTGGCCACAAGAACTTGGATGAAAGACAGACGTGGTGGCACACGCCTTTAATCCCAGCACTCAGGAGGCAGAGGCAGGTAGATCTCTGAGTTCAAGGCCAGCCTGGTCTACAGAGGGAGTTCCAGGATAGCCAGAGCTACCTAGAGAAGCCCTGTCTGGAAAAACACCAACAAAACAAAACCGACCAAACAAACTGTGGTTGAAATGCTGCTTCCAACTGCTTTGAATCAAACTGCCGCACTAGCTAATCAGCACATGCCTGAGTGTGAATAGAGACCACTTTGAATTGCACAGTTTAGACAGCTCTTACTAAAAGAGACCAGCAGAGGAATCGCCCAGTTTGCCCTTGTTATTAGTAAGTCACTCATATCTGAGAGACAGCGTGCTACCCTGCAATAGCTAGCAGAAAATAGTGCATTGCTACCTTGCTGCTGGGGAATTTCCCATGTACTTGATCCGCAGAGGTTCTGTTTCTTTTCAGCAGGGGTTTTCTAGCCCACAGCAATATGGAGCACCTCATACCCCATATGTAAACACCATTACCCCCTGATCTGCTCAGGCCAGGTTATTATTTGGCCTGTATTGCAGCTAACAATTATCCCTTCGAATTCAGTTTGCCTTTCAACACTGACCTTGAATTTCTTCACATTCACTATGAAGAGATAATGGAAAGGCCCAGGGCAATGCCTACTACATGTTAGCAGAGTAATTGCTGGCAGTCATGCCTGGTATGTGACCTGCCTGCCCTGGATTTCTGAGACTACCTCAAAATTCGCTCCAAGAAAAGCTCCTCTCTTCCCTTCGCCCTTGACAGCCTTCATCTCACTGTCATTCGAGGAACCCCATCTGTACTAGGGCTTTACATCTTTCGGTAGTTACTTGAAAGTGGCTTGCATTCTTTCCGCGAATCTAGTTTTGGATTCGTAAGACACCATTAAAAACCAAGCAGGGACAGGAAAGACGCTGGAGCTCCTCCTTCAGGCTTGGCCACGCCCTTTCTAAGACCTGGGGGAGCGGTACGTCCAGGGGGCGGGCCTTCCAGGGGGCGGGACTCTGTGGGCGTGTCCTCCTGGGAGCTGTCCCTCGCTAAGGCAAACCTCCATGGGAGTGGCTGGAGGGGAAGAACTGGGTCACGCGTGCTGAGTGCTCCGGGTCCCGAGTGTGCTGTTTGAGCTTTAGTTTGCAGAACAAAAGCGCCGAGCGAGACCGGAAGAGGCAGGTGGGTGAAGCCGGAAGCAGATCTAGCAGATTTATTTGCTGGCTGTCGCAGCTCTCGCTGAGCGGTAGCGGGCACTGCGTGTACCACGTGTCCGTCACTTGGGCCCCTCGGACCAGTACTGAAAGTTCTGCAGGTTACCCCCGGTGCTCCGGACGTCGTAATTTCACTATTATGAACAGTTGATTCTATTAGGGTATTGGATAAACTAAGCAAGACATTGAATGCTAGTCGCGTGCCTTCTCACGAAGGGTACAACTTGCTTAAGTCCGCAATGAGATTCCGGGCTTGGATCGCATTGTCAGGGAGCTAGCAAAGTCTTGGTAAGGCCTTGTGAGGAAGGTGGGCCTGTGGTTTGGTTTTACGTTGCTCTCTGTT